CAATATATGAATCCTTATCTAATTTGTTCCATATATTTAGCCTTGTCACATTTCAATAAATTCTCTAACTTAAAAAGTCCTCTACGTTTTATCTATTGACATTATAAATCCGCCGATAAGATTGATATGCTCATCTCTAGCAAATTATGGACGAGCGTAAATAATTAACATAACCTCATTTAGTTTATATCGGGTTTATGGATTTTTTTTTCGTTGTACTTTAATTTATTTTGGCCAAGTTTTCTTAGATTCCAAGAAATTAAAGGACTTTCACTACAACTTCTTTTCACATAATTTTTTGGATAACTCGTCTCCTTTTAACACCTTTAATTAGGGGTGTACAAACCGAACCGAAAAATCGCACCAAACCGAAAAGTTAAACCAAACCGATTAAAAAATCCGACTTGGTTTGGTTTGGTATTGAGTAAAAAATCCGAACTAACCCGACATATAAATATATAATTTTTATATATACTTTTAAGATTTTATATAGAATTTTCTTTAAAAAAATGTCTAGAAATATTTGAGATTCTCTTGCGGGATATAAATTTTAATATAATATGAAATGCTCCATATTTATTGACCTTAATTAATTGTTTGTATGATCACTTTCTTATCAAGTGTTACTGAAATGTGTCTATCTCTTTGTTCTTCCATATTCATATCATATGTTAAGATATATTAAATTCTTATATCTTTTTCGAATGTGAAGTGATTATTAATATTTAGGTATCATATTGATTTTTATGTTTAATTACTAAATTCGGTTAACCCTGAAAGTGTATATCAACGAAAAATTATTATCACACGACTAAAAAAATAACTATTATGTGTTACTAATAGAATTCTCCCATAAGAATATTTTAATCGATAAGATGTTTGTCAATTTTTTATATTTTTATTAAATATATATTTACTTATCAAATATTTAATAAAGTAAGATTAAAATAAAATGTAAGTAACAAAAATCCGAAAACCCGACAAAACCTATCCAATCCAAACCGATATAATTAGTTTGGTTTGATTTTGATAAAAACCGGACTAACCCTGTCCACGTACACCACTGGCTTTAATCATGCATCAAGATTTCACACTTATGGACGGATGTATCTAGAGATCTACCGTCTACGTAAGAATATTTGACTAAGTCAGTACCAATTTTGACAGATTTGGAATAATTCACCAAGATAGGTTGAACGAAGATAATACTAAGTCATGTCAGTCGGTCAAATGGAATTTGTGACCCATTACAAACTTGTGTTTTTGTTTTATGATCACGTTTCTTTTTTTACACCTAAAAGATTTATTTTTACACATAAGAGATCTATCTTTTACACATAAGAAATCTAAAAAAGATACTTTCTTAATTTCAATATTTGTAAAAAGTTATGTAGGCAAAATACCCCGATCAGGTCACGTGAACCATTAAACAAGATAAGTAATGAAGATAGTACCAAGTCATTCCGTCATGACTTACAAATAATTTAACATGACAGATAAAATAATTTAATATCGCAATATGACAATCCCTAGTGATTTCTGAATAATTTAATAAGATTGGTAGGATAAAAATAGTACCAAATCATGCTAATCCATCAAGTGAATAGGAAACTAGTATATAGCAATTTCATATAGAATTTTTTTTAACATCAAAATGGGTGTCAGTTTAATCTGGGAGTCACTTGGATCTCTGATCAAGTCCAGAACTATGAAAATTCAAAGAAAGAGATGGTTTACCTAAAAAGATGTGGTCCAAATTGTATATTGGACATTAAATGGTAAGTGACTATATTCAAAAAATTTGTCTTTCTAAGAAATAAACTCTCAGTTCACCTGTCAAATACGAACTGAACTTTCTTTCAATTCACACAATGAAACACCAACTTTTATTATTTGTTCTAACTTATTGATTGTTCTCCAATTGAACCCACTATAGAACCAACAATGTCGAAGCATCATCGTTAATACTCCCTCCTGTCAGAATAAGTGACCAATTTGCTTTTTTATTTTGGTCCAAAATAAGTGTCCATTTATATAATAAAGAAAAAATTCAATTTGTTTTTACAAAATTACCCTTATGTACATATCCCTAAAAAGTTTTCTTACTCCTCACATTAAATATTTAATTAAGGGTAGTTTAGTCATACTAGGTATTTTTGTATAGAATTTAGTATTTTCTTAATGGGCGTGCCGAAAACAAATTGGTCACTTATTGTGGACCGGAGGGAGTACCATACAGCGAGATGGATGACATCTTTCACGTTTAATTGTCTTAAATTTGTGTTCTGGGAATAAGGAACTCGTCAAAGGAACACTTTCCCCTTAATGAGCTTTATACGGCACGAATCCCAAATAGACAAGCTAGTTCGTTTTGGCTACCGAATATACATAATAGAATAGAACTTTAAACACAATATTTTATCTTCATGTGCCACAGGGACTTCCAAATTTTGGTATGTGAAATGTAAAAATAATGCATAAGAGAATAGTAACATCAAGTTTCGAGCGATCAAGATTCAAGTTTTCAGCTATGAAAATGTTAAACCACGAGTGATTCAGTAATTATTTAGTTCAATAAAAAAATTATAGTACAATATTAGTTTCTTTTATTATAATCATACCCCTAAGTTTGAGTTGTCCTGACTTTTTTCTTGAATAAAATCATATACAGTACCATGATATGATCATTCCCATATTAAGCTAAACTGCTCATGCAGTTTGTTGGCTTTTGCCTCTTTAAGCAATAATTTGAATAATTCACCTCCATGTTTTGTTTGCCTTATCAAGCTGAGAATTGAAGTAAAAATAGCATATATTCTGCTAGTGGAAAGGCAATTTTATCAGAACATGACTTTTTTTTTACCTTTTTAATTCATTACACTTTATTTATTACTGATATATGATAAAATGCTTACATTTTTTCACATGGAAATTTCTTCATTCTTCGTTCCTTTGAAACTTGAATTGAAGACACCCCCAGATTTTTGCTTATTCTGGGTAAGTTTCATAGATAATTAGTATTTTCTTCTTAGCTCCCACAAGAAATGCTAGAGATTGCATTCCTGGCGTAGCCACCCTACGCTAAGGGTGGTCAAGCGCACACCCTCCCCTAAAAAATTATAATGTGTATATAAGTTAAATATTACTTTATATGATTATATATTCTATTTTGAACACCCTTAACACAGTTGAGCGAGGCAGTCCAGTGGTTCAGGATGTTCAAAGTGATGTGTTAAAACTTAAATTTTGTATAGAAATAAACACAACGAAAAAGGGCCAAAAACACCCCTATTGTTTAATAAATGGTTTACTATCAAAACCCGTCCACCTACTTGTCTGAAAATACATCTAACATTATCTTGAGGTTTGAAATTACTCCGCGACTAACGGAATATTGTGTGGCCCCTTTTTTAATGAGCTGGCATAATTTTATTGGTCCACGTGGCACCTCAGTTCGGATTGAACAAACCCGTCCCAGATTTCAACCCGCCGCCCCAACTCCAATTTGACCGGAGTTAATAAAAAGTAACACCCTCATACCATTCATCTTCTTCCTCACAATGATTCAAGCTCAAACAACACCAGAACTTAGGCTTCAGTACTTTGTTTTGCAGCAAATTTGCAATTCGATAAATAAATTTATGCCAGCACAAATTTCTAACGTTAACCAAATTTGCAAAGTTTTAAATAAATTTTATAATTTAAAATTCAAACTTTACAATAAAAAATTCAACAAAAGCTCTCAACAAACTACAAATACTCTCGACTCTGCCTTTCCTTTGGTATATGCTTACATTTATTAGTAAAATTTCTAATGTTATCTTTTTGTTATTTTCATTTTGATTTATAATTATAGTTCTATTAATCAAAATTGTTATTGTTTAGCTAATGTTGCGTAGTTTGATTTTAAAATTTTGGTACACTATTTATCGACATAAAATTAGAATTATTGATTTGTGTAAAGTTTGAACATCCTTGGCGGAATTCCTGACTATGCCACTGCTAGTGAGTGTCATATTATTAAATATTAATGTTGCTAATTAATAGTAATTCTTTTTTATTTTCCCTTTTCTTTTGCATTTATCGAGTGATCATGAGATATATCTAGCTATCGTTAGAGCAAGCCTCACTCGTCACCAAATTATGACTAGAATCATTATGCAAGACTTAAGAAAGTCCAGTGAAAGATGATAGAATTAATTAGAATGAAACATTGGATAGAGGACCACCTATAAATAAAGGGAGTCCGAAACTTTTTTGATGCTTTTTTTTTTTGTATAAAAAGCACATTTTTAGTGTTAAAAAAAAAGTTACATTAATAAGCATTTCGCAGTATAATACTGTGAAAAATAGCATTTCGCAGTGGGTAATTCGCAGTATAATACTGCGAAATGCCCTTTGATTTGTACGTCTCCTTCTTCCTTTGGACCGACACAGCTTCCCCACCCACCATTAAAAAACTCCTGCGATTCTGGTCCCCCACCCCCCCGTAATTTAAAAAAAAAAAATAAATTTCGGCCCCACCCGTCACCTTAGGAGCAAGGAGTGTAGGTCCCAGGCACAAGACAAGCTTTGGAATCCTTCTCTCGATCGTAGTATTCCATTTCAATCAAATTCAAAAAACTTCAATCGAGGTATTTCGATTTTATTTATGTAGAAACTAGTATAATACATGCATATTTGTATTGTTTAATGTGTTTCCATGTAAAATGTGTGATAGTTTGTGTTTAAATTTGTATGTTATTTATACTCGACTTGATTTATTAGTTTTGGTAAAAGAAAATGTTAAAAGTTGATAAATTATTTGTATTTTAAATGTTATGTTTTTATTTGGTTAAATAAAAAATTAATATTATTTTTTTTGTTTGTTGTTCATATTTGTATT